GTAAACTCTGCCTTTTCAACTGTTTTTTTGTGCGATTGTTTAACCAGAAAAATATCTTTTTATCTTCGACTTGCCTAATTTATTTTTGGGGTAGAGAGAAAGATTGTAAGATCTTGACTCTTTCTCTCGGTACACACCCTCTCTCTCTCACCCGTTGACTTTAAGTGGGTGTCTCTCTTTCTCTTACCTGGTTATGTTCATTCTATTGGTTTTTTTTTTTTTTTGACAAGAAATGTTCATTCTATCCAACAGGTATTGTTTTCCTCTAAAGGATCAAGAGATGATGGGTTCTCTATCTGACGACTTGCCTAATGAGCTTGTAGAAGAAATCCTTATGAAGTTGCCTGCATCTTCTATCCTTAGTTTCAAGAGGGTGAGCAAATCTTGGTACAACCTCCTCTCCTCACCTCGTTTCATACACCTCCACTCCCTCACACCTCAATCTCCCTCCCAACCTTTTGCACTCTTCCACCCATCCTCCCACAAAAAGCCCCCTGTTTTCACCATCTCCCTCAAACACCATGAAAACGTCATGCAACTCTGTGAAGTACCCCATAGCTCTTCATGGATGCCAAGAAGTATCAAATGTAGTAATGGCATACTTTGCATATTAACAAACAGGGGCGCCTTCTGCATTGTCAACCCTGCAACCGGCCAATCCATCCGTCTTCCGCGTATCCATGGCCTGCGTGTAGAGTATTTTGGATTCTACTTCAGCCCCCGAACCTGCAAATTCAAGGTGTTGGCAGTGTTGGCAGTACTCTCAAAGAGAATTATTGGAGATTACGCGGTCTTCGACTCATCAATCGGAAAATGGGAATTCTTCGACAACATAGAACCAATCAAAGCTCTAATCTTCAGCTCTCTAGATCTCAAAACCATCGGACATACATGTTACAACTACAATAACTTCAACATCCCGTATGATATGAACTTGATTGGTTTTGACATGGTGAAAGAGGAGGTAGAGATCATACCAGCACCACCAAAGTTCCAAAGAGAGGGGGACGATCATGTTGCTGTGTTGGAATGGGATGGTTGTGCTTCTATCGCAGTTGTGAGCTGTAGTTTGGAACTAAGGTTGTGGGCTCTAAGAAAAGAGAAGAAATGGGAGATGGTGGTGGATGCAGATTTGAGGGAATTGGGACTCAAAAATGAAAGTGAGAATTGTTATCCATTTCCAAAGGTTGTGGTTGGGATGGATATATTGATGGCTTATGGTGATAAGATGTTAAGTTATGGGATTGAGAGTGGGAGGTTGAATGGCTTGTTACCAAGGGAGAAGGGATTATCTAAGGGTGATATTTTATCCTACAAACCCACTTTATTTGCTTGGGAGTATGATGATGGTAAGAAAGGAAAAGGGAGTAAAGGTGGTACGAAGAAGAGGAGCCTTGCTCAATCATGCCCAAGTGGAAAGAGAAGAATACATCTTCCATCACATGGCTCACTATAGCTTTCAATATGGTTTGGTGGGTTTCCCATAGTTAGACTCATGTACTATAATTCTCAACATGGTTTGGGTTGGTGAGGGAGTACACAATTTTGAGTTGATTGTTTTATTATGTTCCATTTGAGTAGAATTTATGAAGAAACTTTGCCTGTAATTATTTCCCAATATAACTTTAATGGATGGCTCTTTATCTGTCTCTTTTAGCTTATAATTGATTTCTGTGTGAATGATCGGTCTCTCTCGTTGTTTTTAAATTTTGTTTTATGACTGTCTTGTGCCAATGAAAACTGACAAGGCACACACAATTCCACATGCTCACATCAACCAGTGAGTACTGATTTGATCAGAAGAAATTCCATATGATACAACTCTCTCTCTCTGTGTGTGCCTGCACACACACATATTGGGAAAAAAAAAAAAGACAACTTAGGCGAAACAAGAAAAGGGAAATTACAGCAGAATTTCAAAATGCAAGCAAACTAAGATGCTTTGTATTATGATCACAAACCCTATTTTACCCTAAAACATATGGCATTACCTGTGTACGACTTCTTTTCTAATATATTTCACTGCATCCCTCATGCTTTGATCTATCAATAGACACCCAGTTCGTACGTGGTAGCCTTGAAACTGGGCCCTGAATGGCGGTCTCTAATTGACCTAAATCTTTAGGCTTTTAGATTAGGGTCATGATCTTCCATCAAAGTGACATAGCATTCGCCCGAAATTTGTCCTGAATTTGTAGGGTTTGATTTCCCCAACCCCATTCTCGATAAGAATAACGGCATAGCTAAAATCAATGTATCTAGACATGGCCGAGTCCACTTGAGGCTAATTTATTCGTCCTCGCCTTATGGGCAAGGCAAGTTTTTCTGTATGCCAAACTTTTTTTTTATATAGAATTAATGTATCATTTTTTATTTAAACACACCCATTATATAGAATTAATGTATCATTTTTTGTTTAAACGCACCCAAAGGGTCTGCCGGGTAGTCCGCAAGTTCATTTTACGCTATAGTGGGGGATTGAATCCCACCAAGGCCTTACTTTTGTTTTCTCTTTTTTCAAGAGTTTAGAAAGAAGTGTCAGATGAGGAATCGACCCAATAACCTCTCACAAAGAGGCTCTCTAAGAGCGGAGATACAAACCAACACATGATTTCTCGTTGGTTGCAAGCAAAGTAAAGGCTATAAAAGATAATGGTGTGGTTTGTATAAGGCCTAGGCCCCAAACAATCAAAGTAAGGCGCACCTATAAAGTATCGAAAGATCAATCAAAGTAAGGCGCACCTATAAAGTATCGAAAGATGTTATTCACGTATTGAAAATAAATGTGATGACATGAATATTTTTTTTTTCATCTAACTATGTAATTTAAATATTCAAAAATAGTGTAGATCGAGCATATCTTTAAACACTTGAAAATCTTGAAAATTACGGTTCTAAAAATAAATTTCAAGATGCACTATTTTCAACACTTGAAATCCAGGGAGAGTAGGCATAGCGTTCATGATCATTATGGAAAAACTCCGAAAGAAAAAACTATGGCCGATTGGCAAATAACATTTAATAAGGTTGAACTGAGGTTTGTTATTGCAAGGGGCAAACGTAGCTCTTAATGTGGTCAAAGAATAGTTGCTGAGGGAGATTATCAACAAATGTGTTTAAGTAAGTGAATAGGGAGATAGGGATTCCTTGGTTATTGAAAATGTTGTGGGATTCGACAGGATAGCAAAAGATGGTGCGCGAGAGCAAGAACTAATAAATTGTTGACAAGAAAGATGTTTTATAATGACTGTATATTGTGGATGAGAGGCGGTTTTTATAGGAAGGATTTACAACCTCTACAACTTGCTTTCTGAAGGTGTGCGTTTGATGAGTCCAATGGTGTAAAAGTATATTGTACTTTGACATGCTACAGTAAAATGTTAGCCATTCTTCAAAATAAAATAAAATAAAAATCAACGATTATTCTCCACCATGACATGTCCTAGAATACACACAACACACACCAAATAATATGTGTGCATACCATGCAACCAATCATTCTCAAATCACAATGACTCGTGTGAGCAACGAGGGTACAATGTGTATGGTAACGGTTTGGGATAAGGGAAGGGACATCACCATCAAAATGTTAGACTGAACAGTGATGGATTACCTGATGGTTACAGGTTATCCATCAAATGTGTCATTACATTGAATTGTGTGGACTACTGCAACACCATCACTATCTAAATCACAATAGGAAACTTGAAGAAAAAAAGTTGAGATTGGGATAACCATTCCGTGGAATTTGTGTCATATTACACGAACCCGTACATGAATTTACATTATATCTATATTACAATTACATTTCCCCTTCCCCAATACCTGTGGCCTCAAGGCATTTGGTTTGACCTTCATTTGGCACAAATATTCTCTTGGACCTAATGAATAAGCTCATAAAAACATAAAAAAAACCCTAGAAAAGTAAGGTTTTTCTTCTCATGGACAACTAAAGTAGACGTTTAAGAGCTCAAAATCAATTCTTTTTAATTGTTTAGTGGTGTGAGGCAATATATGAAATTTGGGGTCACTTGGGGCCTCAATCTAATAAGTTATTTCATTTGTGAAATGCATGGCTTGCATTTTTAGGGTTTCATTCCCAGAAAACTCCAATTTCTAGTGTTCTTCCAAAAAAAAAATTCACAATTCTCCATTCCCTAATGGTGTTGAGCAAAAGTTAGGGATGTTGTTGCAGTCCACTCTTGAGCATAAGAAATATTTTTCATATACATCTCTTAGGTTATCATAGCCAACCCCTGCTCTCTGTCTTAACTCTTTTTCTTTCATTTACTTCCTCAAATTTGACTGTGCATATTTCCTTTCTATCCCCTTGTATTTTGCTCTTTTTTTTTGTTTTTTTTTGAGGGGGATAATTAAGTGGAGAAGGCAAGCCCCTACCTGTTTTTCATCAAATAGAGTTAGTTTTATTAAGGTGTTAGTAGGGTGGTATCTGTCGGAAAGGAATTGTTAACACTTTTTTAACGTTGTTTGGTGGCTTTTATATGGCTAGAATCATGCAATATGGTTATCCGAGTTGGGCTTGGGTAGACTCATCTAATATGGTTATTTGAGTTGGGATTGGTGAGGACTGCACAATTTTGAGGTAGTTGTTTTTTTAGATTCCATTTGGGTTGAATTTATTTGAGAAAGTTCGGCTGTAATTATGTTCAATTATAATTTTAATTGATGGCTCTTTCTTTCTCCCTCTTCTTGCTTCTATCTCTCTCTATTTATTTTTTTAATTTATTTTTTTGACCGTTTCGTGCAAATAAAAACCGACCAGGCTTTGGTGCTTTCATCGAGCAGTGAGAATTGAATTGATTAAAGGGAATTCATGTGATACAATTCGCTAAAATATGGATTCCTCTATGCAGACTACTATAAGGTCTTAATAATTTTGAGTTAGATTATTAAGCAACATGCCAAAGGGAAGTTTTGGGTTTAGAACGTTAAGCAATTTTTTTTTTTGTTTTTTTGGATAGATCAATGTAGAATACATACCTATACTCATTTTTAGAAATAATTAGCGGGAAGTTTTGGGTTTAGAATGTTTAGCATTTTTTTTTTTGTTTTTTTGGATAGATTAATGGAGAATACATACCTCTACTCGTTTTTAGAAATAATTAGCGGTGTTTGAATGAGTATGTGAAAATGGAAACCTAAACCGATAGCTGAAGGATGCCAAAGGAAAACTACCAAAGGTATAAGGTTATGGGATACTACTACTACTCTCCCTCTCTCTAATGCAAAATTGCCACACTACAGGTGAATAAATATATGAAGAGTCAGTCGAATTTGATCTTGGGACCCCTGAATGTGAGCCCCACAATCTACCCTACCACTGGGACAAAAAAAAAAAAACATTGTATGTTCTGAATAAACCTTATAATTGTATCTGAATTGATATTTTCGTACGTCTCAAGCCAAAGTTGTGAACACTTTATTTTTATTTTTTTTGAATGTTCACAGTTACTTTCATTAGTATAACCAGAGTAGCGAACAATTTAAACATATATTTAAAATTGAAGCTCAGTAGTGAACACTAAACGTATATTTAAACATGGCGCTCATGTTAACACATCCACCACTGATATCTCCTATTCCATCACAAAACATTTTTTCCAAGGGGACTTAAGTGCAGGACAATGAATTGTCACCACTGTCTACAAATAAAAGATCAAACAGGATGGCCTTTTGAAGCACCTCAAACATTACTCAAATCACGTACATTTTCTCGTAAAATAAAAAATGTTAGAACCTAGAACCCACCTGCTAAAGATTATCAAGAGTATGTATCCAAACAACATGAGATTCAAAAATAATAATAATAATAATAATAATAATAATAATAATAATAATAATATTTTCTTGGGTAATAAATGAAAATTGAAAATGTTCATATAGTGCTCATGCTTAATCTCGCTGATAGTTCACCATAGCCTGTAGATGATAATGCATGCTAAATGTGAATAGAAAATTATTGGCTGATAATTAACACTCAGAAAACAAAAGAAAAAAAAACGCAAGCTAAAATATTCAGCTAGTCTCACAAAGAGATCGGTAAAATCCTGATTAAAAAAACACATGCAGATAACATACGTAGAAAGTATCTAAAAACATTGTGATCAGTCCACTATAATGGTTGAGAGTTGAGAACTTCGTGAGAGAGACAGAGAGAGAGAGTTATGACAAGATAGAGAAGAAAAATTTACAACAATGATTAATCATGGGAAATTATAAAACCACCTATTAATTGCAACAACATGGGATTTAAACTAGTTTATGGAAGGTTACAATTGATTAGAGGTCGAAAGGAGAGAAACCATGACATCAGCAGCTTGAGGGTCACTATTATTTACACTTGGGATGATGTTTACAGGAGAAACCAAGCTCACAAACTCTCTTAACTCTGTAAAACTGCAATGTTCACTGTACGGGACTTCATACCTGCATTGAGAGAGAATAAAAATTAAGTCATACAGTGACGTTAAACTTGATTCTCATATGCAATAACTGAAAGCTAAGCATCAATAGTTTCCAGTAGAAAGTCTCCTGGACATTACCCATGCACAATAGAGAAAGGATATAAAAGCTAATTTCACGTTTTTGAAAGGATTTAAAGCCAAACATCAGTCGTTAATATTCCATAGTTACCTTAAACGATAAAACCTAAAAGCATGTCTCAGCCATAAATATTGGGTTTCTTGTGACCCAAGCAAGCAAGCACGCATAGCACTTGAGGCCATGAACACTGCATTCCTTATCGGAGAACAGCACCTCATATGGAAAACACTCTCTCTCTCTCTCCTCTCTCTCCTCTCTTCTCTCTCTCTTCTCTCTACTACTAACTACTATACTATACTACTAACTACTACTACTACGTACTAA